CTTAAATGGTCCTATGGTTTGCCAAAAGTCGCTATTTTTTTATGCAAATGGTCCTTGTAGTTTGTAAAACTTGCACGGATGGCCCTTTTTACTAACTTCGTTAGTATTCAGCTGTTAGGGATTGAATTTGTAAGGGAATTTTCGTCTTTTCAAGTATAAAGGGACTGAATTCGTGACATGTGGTAAACCACAGGCAGGGCCGGCTCTATGTAGAAGTTTTTTAAGCTAGCGCTTAGGGCCCCATATTCTCCAAAGTCCAAAAGTTTAATTCATTAAAACATCCAATCCGGTAACCACAAATAAATCAAGCGGGAGAATAAATCAACGATCGTTGCACTCATGAAACTAAAATGACGATGTATTCTTCTATCGATTTTGATTTCTACGACACATTCATCTCATCCATTTCTAATTTCTGAGTGAATGAGTCTGAAGCAATACACATTCATCTTCTATTCTTCTTACTTCTAACTTGATTCTCGATTCAAATCCTCATCGGTATGCGTTTCACTTTCATAGTATTCTGTTACTGTTAGGCGTTTTCCTTTCCTTAATCTATTTTAGTATTATTCTATCTCGATTCTCGATTAGAATTCTTCTACATGTATTATCATTTATTGAAATGGATATGACTAAAATCACATCTTAACAATTTATTTATGGATCTTATGAATCAATACGAGTCTCTGCATCGCTTGTCTGTTATTTTATGACATCCATAGTGATGATGGAACGCTGAAACTATATGGGAATTTGATGCATAACAACTTTAGAAGGTACGATTTAGGAAACAGTTTAAGAATCAACTAAGGATTTCAAGTTGTTCACCTAGAATAACCATACATCCATTGAGAATACTGATCAATGTTATAGAAAGCATAATGTTGGGGTGATTTGATTCATTAGTCAGATCACTCTCAATTACTTTTTTCGATTAGAATCTAGCTATGTGATTAAGCTATCTAGTCCTCAATACCATAAATCATTGACAGTGAATGATAGGTTTTAGTAACAAGTTTGTTATGTACTTTTGGTATATTAGGTGTTATAAGAATCATATAGAAATTTTTATTGAATTCTTGTTGATTTAGGTTATTAAAACATGAAAAGTCCTTTATACCATACTAAAATTATCCATTAAGAAAACATAAAGAGTGAACTTTTATGTGAATACAATTGAGTATTATAGTAAAGGCTATTATAGTAAAGGCTAAAGGGCCCCAACATTTTGGTTCGCTTAGAGCCCCTAAACTGGTTGAGACGCCCCTGACCACAGGGACTATTTTTGTAATTTTGTCTTAAAATAATATAAATAATAGAAAATAAGAGGAGTAGATTCAAACTTGGGACCTCCTCCCTTCTACCTTAATCATCCAAAGCCTTACCCAATAAAGCTAAAGCCACATTTGTTTTATATTTTTCGAAAACTAATTAATATTATCTACAAATTGTAAATAAATTAATAATAATAAATTACAAACATATTTTACAAAAAAATTAATAAAACAAAATATATTTTTAGCGTATTGTAAAAAAAAGGGAAAATGACATATATGCCCTATTATGTTTCTAGGGTTTACCCACTTAGCCACTTAACTTATTTTGTGGCTTTATGAGGGAACAAATTATTTGTAACCTAGCAATCTAATCCCTTTCACCTATTGTAGACGGTTTCCATTGCCACATAAGCGTCCCAACAACCCAAAACCCAAACGACGTCGTCTTGTATTTCAATTTGTTTGTTCTTTCAATCTGACAATTTTGAATTGCGAAATGAGTCCACAGCCGGTTTTATTTTTGGAAGAAATTGGTACTTACGGAATGGCAATCATTTTGTTCTTGGTGCTAGAAGGAAGACGAGGAACACCATATTTACCCTTGTCCTTTTCCGATTGGATATCAATCAAAGTGTAGTTCTGTGAAGATACAAGATCAAGAACTTGAGCAGCAGTGAGATCACCTGGATTGGAAAGTATGATTCCAAATCAGAATCGTTTCGTGAGTAGCTGCAATTTTGATCATATATAGGGTTTTAATTTACCTTTGTATCCACGAAAGTTGAAAGATAGGGCGGAGAAGACAGGAGGCAGTAGGAGATATGTGAGGACCAAAGCTCCGCCGGTGACGAAAATGGTTGTGGGATCTGTCGATGAGATGGTCTGCATCGTGTTTGATGCAATCGGTTGAAAACACACATCGTGCTGCTATTTGTTGTCATTTGCTGTTATTTGGTATCTTCATTATCAGGTTCTTCCAGATTCAAAACACACATTCGAACAACTAGCATATTCCCCTGCTTTTTGTTATTTCCGCCCCCGCCATTCGATTCCAGTTGTTTCTCGATTATAGAAAACACCCTCCCGTCGAGGAAAAAAGGAACCCTAGCGAAGCCTTATTACGGGTTTCAATTCCATATTTTTGAAGAAGAGAAGAAAGGGATGTTTTTCTTAAATGGAATACAAACCACTGTAAACGTTTCAAACATGGAAAACCCAAATACCAAAGTAGCAAATGGACAAAACATTTCAACTCATTGTCAGATAAAGATTTATCGGGTACTATTTATCAAACTAGATATATGAATGTTTATCAGGTAACATTATTGAGGAATACAGATGTGCAAGAAGATGAATAGTACTGGGTTAAGGAATAATTGGTCAACAAACATCTAATGTGGCAATGGGGTAACCGGATGACCCTTTCATTTTGCCCAAAAGGACCTAATCGACCTGACAAAGTGTAATTCGTTCTCTTATAAAAAGCCGCAAAATAAGTTAAGTGGCTAAATGGGTAAACTCTAGAAACATAATAGGCCATATATGTCATTTTCCCTAAAAAAATTACAAACAATTTATATGTTTTTTACGTATTTGTTTTACTTAAAATATACGTTTTTATGTATTTATATTTTTATGTTTTCATAAAAAAAATAAATTTTTTTTTTTTGCTTTTACGTAGAAAAAAAAAAGTTTTTTTACGTATTTATTTTATGTAAAATATGTTTTTTATATATTTAAAAAATACGCTTTTGTATAATGTGTTATTACATTGTTATAATCCGAAAATATACTTTTGAATACATAAAAAAACGTAATAACATATTATACAAAAACGTCATCCTAAAAAACGTACTAACATATTATACAAAAACATAATACAAAAACGTAATCCTAAAAAAATGTATTTTTAAATACAAAAAACATAATCCTAATTAAAAAAACGTAATAACATATTATACTTTTAAATACATAAAAAACGTAATAGCATGTTATAATCCGAAAATACACTTTTAAATACATAACGTAAAACAAACTAAAGACATTAACATATCGTAAAAATACGTTTTCGTATAATATGTTATCACGTTAACGTTTTTACGTAAAAAAAATACTTATATATTCGCTTTAAATCAACTAAATACGTTAAGATAACGTAAAAGTATATTTAGGATTATAACAACGTAATAACGTATTATATATAAATATATTTTTTAAATACATAAAAAGCATACTTCACATAAAATAAATACATACAAATTTTATTTTGTTTTTATGTTTTTTAAGGATTACGTTTTGTATAATATGTTCTTACGTTTTTTATGTATTTAAAAGTATATAAAAAACCTATTTTTACATAAAACAAATACGTAAAAAAAAAAACTTTTTTTCTGTGTGAAAAAAAACTTATTTTTTTATGAAAACATACAAATATTTTTTAGGATCATAGCAATGTAATAACATATTATACGAAAATGTATTTTTTTTTAAATACCTAAAAACATATATTTTACGTAAAAAAACATATAAATTGTTTGTATTTTTTTTTCAATACGGTAAAAATATATTTTGTTTTATTAATTTTTTTTTGAAAAATATGTTTTTTTAATTTTTTTATTATTAATTTATTTTCGATTTGTAGATAATATTAATTAGTTTTCGAAAATATAAAACAAGTGTGCCTCTAGCCTAATTAGTTAAGGCTTTGGTTGATTAAGGGAGAAGGGGAGGAGGTCCCAAGTTTAAATCCTACTCACCCCTTTTTCTACCATTTATATTATGTTAAGATAAATTTACAAAAATGGTCCCTATGGTTTACCTGTCACGAAATCAATCCCTAACGGCTGAATACTAACGGAGTTAGTAAAAAGGGTCATCTGTGCAAGTTTTGCAAACCACGAGAACCATTTGCATAAAAAAAATTAGCAGAGACTGACTTTGTGACTTTTGACAAACCTTAAGGACCATTTTTGTAATTTTGTCTTTTAAATATAAAAAACTAGGTTATAACCCGGAACCACGGTTACAAATGTAATTAAACTTTCATAATAAAAATTTAAAAATATTAATCAATTATTTTAAATAAATTATTAATTAAGAGATATTGTTTTAGTTATATAAAATTATAATCGTTTATTTAAATAAATACGTGAAATTATATCACATTATAATATGTATTACTTTTATTTTATTTTTTATTATAATGTTATTAACTTAATGTAATTAGAGTGAGAAATTTAAAATTTAAAATTTGAAAGGGAGAATCAATAGGTTGACAAATGACATGACATTAATTAGGAGACTTAATATTATGACACATGACAAAAGAATTACTCTTTTATTAGTATATGGATATGGGATTTTCTAACATTTTTTTTGGAACATGCCAACGAAATATATATATTAAAATAAATCTAAGATCTGCAAGGAACTGGCCAAGGAACAAAGAACAAATACAAGAACAAGCAGAATAAAAGGACCTAAAATGGACTTATACATCACTTTGTCCAGCCTATTCCATCTGTATTTCCACTATGTTTAATCCAAATAAAAACCATAGATTTCACCAAGTGTGCCACCTTCGTAGGAGAAATCTTTTGTTTGCTAAATTGTCTATCATTTCTTTCTTTACATATGTTCCATAATGTCCCCTAACAAATACTCAAAAGAATTATTCTCTTCTTAGGACAGTTACCCAATGTAGAAGCATAATCAATGTGCTCACTAACTTTCGAGAACTGCATAACCGGATATCCCACACCACCTGAAAATCCATTCAAAGGTGGTTTTGGCAAAGTCGCAACCCACGAGTATATGGTCCCAGCTTTCATCATCCACCTCGCAATAGGAGTATCGGGTTGACCCCACATTTACCCCTCTGCTCTGCAAAGCAACCGCAGTAAGTATTTTCCCCACTACGGCTCTCCAAAACAAAACACACAACTTTTAGAGGGATAACATGTACCTTAAGGCACATATAATAAGCATTAATTATGATAAATGATTTAGGTTATTTTTGGTCACTTAATTTTTGGTTTTGTGCTCATTTGGTAACTTAACTCTTTTTAAGTTTTAAAAGGTCATCGAACTTTTGGCTTTGTGCTCATTTAGTCACTTAATTTTTGGTTTGGTCACTTAACTTTTGGATTTGTGCTCATTTAGTCACCTAACATGTAAAATTATGCTCATTTAGTCACTAAACTTTTAAAATAAAGCTATAAAAATGAGCACAATTTTAAAAATTAGGTGACTAAATGAGCAAAAATTCAAAAGTTAGGTGACTAAATGAGCAAAAATTCAAAAGTTCAGTGACCAAACCAAAAGTTAGGTGACTAAATCATCAAAAAGCCAAAAATTTGGTGACCCTTTAAAAAAAATAAGTGAAGTGACCAAATGAGCACAAAATAAAAAAATTAAGTGACCAAAAATGACTTAAACGGTTAAACACTTATGATAAATATTATCATAATTAAATATGAAATTCATTCATTATAAGGAATATTATCATAATTAAATGTGAAATACATTAATTATCACTATAATAAATGTATTTTTTTTACATTTAATTATGATAATATTTTTTATAATTAATCCTTCTTATATGTGACATTTGGGCATATATTAGAAAATCTCAAAATATATTTCAAAAATATTCTATTTCATTCAGTTTTTTATATTTTTTTAAATACTTATTTTAGTTATAAGGTTTTATAAATCTGCCAACATGTTTTTGTTACAATAACAATATTATTTACCAAAATATAAAATGTCCATATAAAACTAATTCAAGTTAATTATAATATTAATAAAACAAACATTTTGCTCATGTTATATTTTTATTATTCCTTGGCCTCTACCTCCAACCAAACACACACACAAATTGATGGGCATAAAAGGGAAAGATGAGAATATCGTAAAAGTTTGGATATCACTTTATTGGTTTTCCCATTGCTATGAGCGTATATGATTAAATTCTTCCATACCTGATTGGTTTTTAGTTGAAAACCCAAGCATCTATTATGGTATGAATACAAGGATATAGAGTAAAAATATATGCCCAGATGAATCATAGAAACCCCATCTAAATTTTGATACTAACTCGATTGTAACTTGTACACAACTTTTAAGTTAGACGTAAGACATCACCGACTCCTCCCTATCTGTCTTGCAAAACAGTGATAGTTTTCAAAACAAAAATAATGGTTAAATCCTTATGGTCCTAAAAAGAAACATAAACTGAAATGTTAATAGTTTTTGGTCCCAAACAAGACTCTAGACATACTCAACAAATTTAAATCCTCAAGAAAAGAAGACAACAGTTTCATTGATTCAAAAAAAAAAAAAAAAAAAAAAAAAAAAAAAAATCATACACAAAAGCATATGATAGATGTTAATGGAAACCCCTTTCCAGAGTACGAAATTATGCCAAACCAAAAAATATAATATACCGTGGTGTTCTTACTTTCTTTTCTATAATTAGGCTTCCATTCACAATCAATGACATGTTCATGCAGACCCAGCCCAAATAATTAATATGAATTGTTTTTCTGTAAAGCACCATAAGAAAGAGTTCGTTATCCCAAGGTTAATGATAGATGTAAAGCTAAACCATGATAAAATACAAAATAGAAAGAACCCACAAATCAATGCCATTAGCTAGCAAACCATTGATTTCTACTAAGAAAACCATTTTTTACACAAACCAAAGCATCAAGTGTCTAGTAGCATCGATATTTTACTCGACTTAAATGATCATGACTGCTAGTCTTATTGTGTGAGTGATTTTTATACAAGAGGCAAAAGTCATTAATTATGTCAAGTTTCACAAACATTCGAACAAAAAATGGAACTTCATTACTATTTAATAGTATTGTTTCAAACGTGCTCCATATCATTTGTCCCATGTCATGGATAGCAACAATTCAGACGAATGTCGACATAAACCAATACGTTACAAATTAAAAATCCCCTAATTTAGCAATATTTAAAAAAAATGTTGAGTTGTCAAACCTCTTTAGAGAAAACTAGCAATATTGAAAAAAAAAAAAAAAAAAAAAAAAAAAAAAAAAAAAAGTTGATTTGTCAAGCCTCTAGAGAAAACTGAGGTACCTAGGTGGAACAATTGTGAAAGTTGGTTACTATTTGGTGATATCTTCCTATATCCAAAAAAGGACTCAAATGCAAAAAAGTAAGATGCAAAAACCTGTGAAATCAAACACAACCCTGAGACATATAGTCCATAAACCAAGATCGATAACTATACATTTACTATTGTCAAAAAACAGTAATCTAGTTTCTTAATAAAAGACCTTGCATAGCAATAAGTTTAGAAATCTTCTGAATTCGAACAGACATGTCCAAATGTTAAACAAGGTAAAAAGGGTCTACCTCCTCAGTCCTTAGAAAATCAAATTGGACCACGGCAAGAGAGAATGTAGATGCAATGCACTAAAAATGGATACTTTACTATAACCTAATTATGAAACATTACATCATACTTTACATCTCTCCATTTCATTTTGTCCTCAACCATCCACCATCTCATGCTTGGCAGGTGCTACCCAAACAAAACTGTCGACATACTCCACAATTTTTTCTACACCATATTCTTCAGCACAATGATCCTCCAAGATACACTGCTTGTTTGCAGATGAATCATACAAGACAAGATAACCATTATCTTCAATAAGAAACTCATTGTGTGATGTGAATCCATATGGCCATGTATCATCGAAAAACGGTGATAAGACATGGCGTTTGACCCATGATTCAGCCACCTCATACTCATCCATCACCCACACCTCATATGCAACATCCTCAATATATAACATCACACAGAGCTTCTCAGACAAAACTCCTAAAACATTCACACGGTTTTGATGTAGTATAGAATTTGGAAAAAGTATCTCACGGAATATCTCTGAACCCAAATCAAATGCCACTATCGTTTTTGGATCTTCCTCCTCATTAACATAACCAAGCCAATGAAGATGCCCGTCATGGCCATCAACACAAACAGAATCGCCATCAATAAGGTTTGTGATGTGCGATGGAAACCTTTCAGTAATCAACTCCCAGGAACCCTTTCTCATGCTATAAATCTCAATTTGCAGCCACCATCTAATGGCATATGTTCGTGGTCCAATAAGGCCTGTGAGCTTGACCACTTTGTAATCATCAGTTTTGGGATCAAACCCAAACCGGAAATGGATTTTGATTGAATCACAATCATGGGAGGGCGTACAATATGGTGGGAGAGTTAACATGTTAGGAATCGGACCGGGTACATGCAGCGGAAACACACTATCACACACACAAACACACGAAGGAAATAAAGCAAGAAGGAACACAAGGATTTTACGTGGTTCGGATTCGGTGTAAATCCTACGTCCACGGGCGCAACTAGATTTTATATTAACTCACTATAAGATTACAAATGATAATATCACTCAGCACTTTTGTTGTTCTACGCTACATCGCTCTTCTTACAATTCATATATATATATAGGAGAGAGCCAAGCCTTTTTCTTTTGTTTACACAAATTGCCGCTATATTTGACTAGAATATATATATGCCGCAAAGTTTGAAAAAAAGAATGCGTTGATTTCTTTAGCCGTCCAAAATAGAGCCGCCGTCCACTTCAATATTATTAAACAATTGATAGTGCGTCCAATTCAATATTCAATTGTTTTAATTTACAAGTTTCATTTATGGCCCTTGAATTCTTAGGAACTTGTCAATTTATTCAAGACTCCATAAATCTTAACAATCTCCCACTTGGAGGCTTGAACAACTTTAGCTTTTCTCCGCCATTCAACTCTCAATTACTCCAGTAATCTTAAAAAACAACCAAGTCCTTTTAGGCTTCCAGTTCCAAAGAACAAGCTAAAACTTAGTCTGATTTCTCTAGTTGCAGCCGCCCCTCATCATCAATTACTAGAAGGGCCAGTTGAAGCTCCCACTAGCTCCAACTCAGCCGTGGCTAATCCCGCCACCAACTCATCATCTGTCTCAACCGGTTTGGACACTCCACCAGATCCAGAGATACACCGAGGACCACTAACACTCTCCCAACTTTGCAAACATTCAACAGGAGAGAATTTTTCAGTCTTAGTCTTCAAAACCCAACGGCTCTTTGTAACTGTACCCGAAACACGTCCCGTGCTCCCACTGTCACAGAATCCCCTGAATGGTTTAGACTTTCGAACTCGTTCAGTTAACATCTCTTTGGCTCCAGAATTCATGTTTGCAAAATGAACTCTCTTAGCCGTAGATTTAGCGAACCAGATTTTGTCTTGTTTAACAGGGACGGTCATACTTCCCTCAGCAGGTACCTCAACCATATACAATGACCCACGCTTCAAACCTTGAGCAATCACCGAATTACCATTGACCACCATCCATTTACCACCACCAAACCTTACTTCCAGTCCTTGTTTATCCAGCTGACCAACAGAAATCAATTTCTTTTTCAGCTCCGGAATCACCTTGACATTTTTCAGGTTCCATGTAGTTCCCAATGAAGTAACCAGATCAATATCTCTCATGTCCGTTACTTGAAGCATCTCGTCATTTGCTAACCGTACCTTTCCAAAATCTCCTTCTTTTATATTCACCATCGTTTTCTCGTTGTCCATGGCGTGAAACGAAGCCCCTGAATCCATGACCCAAGAGTCTACAGAACTTTCCATACTGAGTATCAATGCATCATCCTCAGACACTATCAGCACCGGTAATGTTCAATTCTTTCTTTGGACATTGACTCTTAACATGTCCCACCTCCTGGCAGTTCCAGCACTTCACATTCTTCTTAGTTCTAGATGAACTTCTTCCCCGACTCCCACTGCTTCCACTATTCCTGTTATTCCCTCTACCTCTTCCGACATTTAATAAATCAGAAGAGGAAGATCCACCTTGATTCTTGCGTCTGATATCCTCGCCTAGAACCAAATCTCTAACCCCTTCAAAAATCATACCACTGGTCCCCACGGAACTCGTAACAGCGGTAACTGTTCCGGACCAGCTATCAGGTAGAGAAGCTAGTAGCAGTGATGCTTGAGTCTCGTTATCAAATTTAATTCCCACAGATGATAATCTGAACAGAATTGAATTTAGATTGTTAATGTGAACCGTAACTGAGCCTTCCTCATTCATCCTTGTAGTGAACAGCTCCTTCATCAAGAACACCTTGTTAGCCGCCGATGGTTTCTCATACATATTTGACAGAGCATCCATCATACCACGTGCCGTGGTTTCATTCATGATGTTGAAAGCAACGCTCTTCGTCAACGACAATGTAATAACCGCCTTGGCTTTCTTGTCCTTTGAGTTCCACGCATCTTCAGCAGCTTTTTCCATTTTCTCCGGTTTGTCTCCGAGTACCATGTCCAAGTCTTTCTGACATAGCAATGCTTCTATTGCATTTTCCACCAGCTAAAATCAGAACCATTAAACCTTTCGATTATAATCTTGTCTTCAGCCATTACGACAAACAAGATACAAATCAGGTACACTCGTGCGTGATAAAAAAAACGATCGTACCCTCCAAAACCTCGCTAACCAGGCTCTGATACCAGTTGTTAGGAATCGGACCGGGTACACGCAGCGGAAACACACTATCACACACACAAACACACGAAGGAAATAAAGCAAGAAGGAACACAAGGATTTTACGTGGTTCGGATTCGGTGTAAATCTTACGTCCACGGGCGCAACTAGATTTTATATTAACTCACTATAAGATTACAAATGGTAATATCACTCAGCACTTTTGTTGTTCTACGCTACATCGCTCTTCTTACAATTCATATATATATATATATATATATATATATATATATATATATATATATATATAGGAGAGAGCCGTAAGTCTTTTTCTTTTGTTTACACAAATTGCCGCTATATTTGACTAGAATATATATATGCCGCAAAGTTTGAAAAAAAGAATGCGTTGATTTCTTTAGCCGTCCAAAATAGAGCCGCCGTCCACTTCAATATTATTAAACAATTGATAGTGCGTCCAATTCAATATTCAATTGTTTTAATTTACAAGTTTCATTTATGGCCCTTGAATTCTTAGGAACTTGTCAATTTATTCAAGACTCCATAAATCTTAACATAACACGGCCGAGAGAGAAGGGTTCCAAATGTGAATCACAGAAACACCATAAGTAGAGCATATTAAGACGTTAATAGAACCAATAACACTAATACTAGTATATTCAGGTTCGGGGTTAACCGGGAGTTTGATGAAATTAGTGAGCTCGAGATGAGGAAATCGACACTGGTGTGCTACAAATTGTTTAGGGTTGGAAGATCCATGGAAGACCAAGAGAATATGATCGTTGTTATGGATGGAATGATGGAGGTGGGATTTTACAAAGAAGGATTAGGATAAAAGGGCATTCCAAGATTTGGAGACAGACCTCATTTGAGCAAGCTGTTTGGCCGATAATCGGATGAATATGTTTAATAAAAAAAGCTCGTCGGGAAGGTTCTCCATAGTCATTGGGTGTTGTGGTGATGTCATTGGTGTTTTTGGAAGCTCAGCAGGCAAAGCAATATGCTCTTCAACAACCTGAAAACAATAATATAATTAATAATAATAATGTACTTAATGATCTAATAATGGATGGATGGTTTAGTAAATAACAAACCCACCAAATTGCATATGCTCAAAACTGTTGTAAATAAAGGCACAAAAAATACGAGCATGAAAATATTACTCACTCCATGTTTATGTTTTTTCAGTGAGCTACTGGTTGTTGATGCTTCAAACCTTATAACAGGAGATGATGATGACTCCTCCATGGTTCTGGAATGCAACAAGGCTATCAAGTGCTGGGTTTCAGAACTGTAGCAGCAGTATATGTATAACACATCAGTAGTGACACAATAATTCCATCAAAAGAGGCACCAAACACACTTACTGGTTGTTGATGCTACACTTACTTTCAAAACCAACATCAATTTACTTTTATGATTATATCATAATAAGATATGAATATGGATGTTGCATATGAAATTAACCACAACATAATACTAAAAAAGTGCCATTTCTGTCTATTTTGACCAATTCTCTGCTCTCTTTTTTAAAACCAAATTGGCGAGGAACATGAGCATATAAACTCTGTTTGATTGATGCACATGCACTCACTGTGTTATACCTCAAAAACAAGTTTTTGGCATGTAAAACATATTGCAGCTTATTGACAAAAGAGCACACTCCTCAAGTTCAAAGATGCATTATGAAGTTAGCATAAAAATGTCACCACCTACATCGTATATAATAGCATTGTAAAAAATTATACCGAAAGAAAGACCGACCTAGTAAAAGTCATCTGTTGCAACATTTGTTCAAGCTTTGATATCCCAATGGTGACAGACATGCTAGCAGAATTCCCACCTAGTATAACATATTGCAGATTCATAACCTGGTATAAAGACAATGATCCATGAAAAGATTTAATGGTTCGTGTAGTCTAATACTCTAATGTGATTGTTTGTCAACATTGACAGTTATGATTATGTTTCAAATAATTTATTTTTTTGGGAATTAGCTGCAACTTTTTAGTTTTCAGCTATTACCTCATAAATACCTCCATTTCTCATCAGTATGCAATTTCTACAGGTCCAAAAGCAGCCCCTACTATAAGGCTCTTGGACTATCAAAACTAAAAATCTAAAACAAATTTAGCACAACTAAAAAGAGTAGAAAATCAGATTAGCAAAAACCTTTCTAAAGATTATAAGACCTACAATATAAGAAGAGATAAGCTTACTTTAACAGCCAAATTAACCCCTAAGCAATTCAAAAGTGCAGAACTCGGAAATTCTCAAGTTACTATTGCTTTTTGCATACAGCCAAAAAAACTAATCATTTGAAAAAGAAGGCAGCAATAAAGTAAAACAAATAAAAAAAAAAAAAAAAAAAAAAACATGATACAAAGCCACACCAATACAGCCAAATAGGTCCTAACTAAGCTCACAGGGGCAATAATTAGTTAAAAACTGATCTAGCTGAGAACAAAAATGTTGAACCTGGCCGGAAATGTCTCTTTCGAAACATTTCTCCCACTGCCCCGCTTTCGTGGGGAGCCCTTCCATCGTCCGCCGTCGCCATAGATGAAGTTGAAGTTGTCTCGCGTAGAAATTAAGAAAGAGAAATGGAGACAGGTCACACGAGTGAGCGAATGAACTAGGGCTTTTATTTGGGTTTAATATGATAAAACTCGATATTTTGGTTCGAATTAAACTCGTTTGGCTAGAAGTCGAGGTATTATAGTAATTTAAAATATATATATAATTAAAATTAAAAAAAAAAAACATTATATTGAAATTAAAAAAAAAACATTACATTATAAATATATATTAAAGCCCATCAAGTATTTCAACAGGAATCTTTTTGGTTTTGGAGTTTGGCCACATAATTTTCAAACTTTGATAATTTTAATCCCCTTTGTTTATTTTTTCTCAATTTCGTCACACAACTTTCACCGTTTTTTTTTTAAAATGCCACATAATTTTCAAGCTTTGATAATTTTAGTCCCCATTGTTTATTTTTTCTCAATTTCATCACACAACTTTCACCATCTTTTTTTTTAAGAAATCTTTCAACAAGAATGTTTTTGCTTTTAGAGTTTGGCCATATAGTTTTCAAGTTTTGATAATATTAGTCCCTATTGTTTATTGTTTCTCAATTTCGTCACACAACTTTCACCGTCTTTTTCTAAAAAGAATGACCCGTGCAACGCCCGGACCTTTTCCTAGTTAAAATTAAAAACCATGACATGAAATTAAAATTACAAAAATACATGAAACTAAAAATTACTAAAACAAATCTTTCAATCTCAACACACATCAAAATAGCTAGGCAATAAATTTACCTAGTGAGTTAGTTATATGAGGTTGATTCATTTAGAGAAAGAGATTAGAATCCAACTTGTTCGATTCAAACCTCAAAAAAGGTTCAAAAACACATCGAACAATAGGTTTAATAACCCAATTAAAACAAAAGGTTTTTATATGCCCAAAAGTTAGACTTCAACAACTTTATTCCCAAAAGAACATAGAAGTCCTATAAATTCGCAAAAAGGATAAACCATGGTTATAACACAAGATAAGATTAGATGCAATGCATACAACATTCGGTTTCTACCAAAGAGTCGTACTTAACCTATTTTGATAAATAAAAGAAAGAAAACCTTATAAAGCTAAAAAAGGTTTACTCCAACATCTTGATGCACTAGCTATTAACAAACATCACTACACCAAAATATCGATCTTCTCTATGAATAGAAAAGTATTTTTGTACTTTTATTTCTCTTCCCCTATGTGTTAATTTCTCACGTGTTCTTTTGTTTTTACACAAAAACACATGGAACATAAATAAATGTGTATGTATTTTTTTTTAGTAAGAAGTACAAATACTGATACAAAGTGGAACATATGCTAGATTTATGGTTCACAAGAAAACATAGAACAAAGGAAATATAGCAAAAAGTTCAAAACCAACCATCGTCACTATAATAAGCAAAAGGGAAGCTAATCTCAGGTAGCATGTTTTAAAGGTCTATGAATGAGCATAGTTGACTCTTATGAAATTCTGTGACTTACAAATTTGAATTTTCATGAGGACGATCACTTGGTTTGTTTTTCTATTACTGAATTTGTAATAAGTAAACAAATTTATACGTACTACAATGAATAATCCATTTTTATGTAAAGTACTTTTATGATTTTTATAATTATTTATAAAAGTTTTATGAATGGAATTTCAATAAATGGTAATTTTGTCATTTAGCACTCACTACTAGAAACTTGAGTTTCACCTATGGATTTAGAGAGGGATTTATTCTGTAGCAAAATTTTGGCTTATAGAGAGGGAATTACGAGAGATGTACGATGGTTTAAACAAGTATTAGAGAGGGTTTAGCGAGGGATAAGCTACGGGATCTTACAAGTATTTATCGACGCACCCTTATTCCTCGGTAATCGGTGGTAAACGAAGGCATTTGGCGAGGGTTCAACGAGGGAAAAAAATCGTCGACTTTTTGCCATCTGGTATGTGTTTAGCGAGAGAATGTCGACGGAGCATACACACGTTATGTTTTTTTAATTGACGATCTCTCGCTGAAATTGGCGAATCCAATTCCAGTTTCACGAAGTTTATGTAAGTTTCCTTCCCTCCCAAATATGCTTTATCACTCCAATTGAACACGCATCACTCTCGAGTTGCAGCTTAACCTAATCTCACTCTCTCCGTTCAAACAGATGACAACACCATGGACCATTGCAGGTTTCGATTCCGACAGCCTCCACATTTTTAAAATCTAAAATTATTCTTCATTAGCTTCCGATTCAGGTAAACCTCTTGATTTTATTTGCTTTAGTCATATATTAGGTTAGGTTAGGTTCAATTGCACAATATATTACATTAGGGTTTAATTTCACCATTTTTTTTCCTTTTACAATCGTCATTCCTCTTATATCGATTGTATCTATATTAGAATAGACACTTAGAATTAGAACTTGATATAGGGCTTGATTGGTTGCTTTAGTCATATAAGCCTGGTAGCATAAGTTTTGTGCATCAAAGCTTTACCTCTGTACATGCATCCACAAGCTCTACAACAAGCCCAACAGCACCAGTTTCATAGGCAATCATTGTTTGAATGGAGAAGAGTCATCACCCATCTCATAGTTGTAGGATGAACTGCTACATAAAAAAAGTAAGTTATAAACTTGGAGGAGGCAATCTTATGCCATTGTTCAAGAAGCTCTTCTGATGTAATGGTCACTACTAGATCAATTAGCATCTCAAGCAACATGTTTCTAACAATAATGTGTTTCCCCATTGACTCTCTTAAAATCTCATTTCTTGATGTCAGCTCTGGTGGATCAAAAGTCATGATCACAAACCTAACAACATGTTCCAGTTCAGAAACCAAAAACCCATCTTTCAATATCACTCCTAGAAGTGTCACCCCTGTGAAGTGTCACTAACAGATGCTGAATGAGGTTTATCCTTCGCAAAACTATAAGATTATGGTTTATACTTTGTATTAGAACTGTTGCTGCTACCCACAATGTCCAATCTAGTAACACATGTTCAACCATATCTGGATTTGAAAGAACAACACAGTTTGATGTTGTAACTCCCGTAGATCCGGGCAAGTCAATTTAGAGACGATAAGCATCAAAAATGACTTTTTTGATGGAAGATTATTTAGAAGGATTAATCTTAACTAAGTTGTAGTATATGTTACAAGGATTTCGTACATATAAAGAACGCCGAAATCTGAGTTATAACGAAGAAGTTATGACCTGTCGAAGTTTCACGACAGAACCGGCACGACACATCGCGACGTAAATAGTGAATTTACGTTAGAGCGATGTTTGGCCTTAGCAATCTAAATGAAAGTCATAGAATACGTTAAACCGAGAGCGTGCATAAAAAGAACGCCCAAATCTGACTTCGTATGAGGAAGTTATGATTTTTCGAAGTTTCGGCTTAGCAGTGTACAGCCCGAAGTTCGAATATGAGATCGAGCGATATTTAGCCGAAACAATCTAAACGATAATTGAAGATCTCGTCGATAGTAGTCCAACGACGGAAAGACAGACGAAAACGGACGTCAGACGAAGGAGTTATGAGTTTATAACGGAGTTTTCCTGTCCCGGCCTACTAAAAATAATATAAAAATAATATAATAAAAATAAAGTCAAAATTAGCCGACAAAGTCTAAATGAAAGTTGTAGATCTTGTTTTTACCTACGCGTCGATATAAAGAACGTCGAAAACGGAGTTCGTATGCGAAAGTTATGGATTTCTGAAGTTCGGGGCGCGAAACCCCAAAACTGTCAGAGACCACGACGTGAAATCAGTGGTCACGACGTGGCATGTCTTCTGACACCTCCTGGAGTCTGCCAGACCCAACTTGCGATGACGCATGCAGTGACGATCAAGCCCACGACGTGAAAGTACTGTTCACGACGTGGAAAATGAGAAATTTGCCCTATAAATAGAAATCAAGGGCCAGCCGATTATGGTTGCTCCATCTCTTCTCTCCCACTCCCGATACACTCTCTAAGCCCTATTTTAACCCCCCGAAGCCCCGGTATCAACCCCGAGACCCGAAGCAAGTCCGAAGCCCGAAGATCCCGAGAAGAAAAGAGTTTTCGAGCCGAAGCTCTGCCTGCGAGAAGCCCGGTGTGTGAAGATCTTCTAGTTTCACCGAAGAAATACTACTTCTACAAGCCGTAGTGCTGTCTGATCATCTTCTGATCAAGTGAGTGTATAGTCACTTTCTTCTATCACATAATTATGAAGTATTTGATATGAAATACGTGTTATGTGTACATATTGTTGTTATATGTGAGAATGCATATTCATTTTCTTCTAACTCATAGATATGATTTATTCTCTATGAGATACGTGCTAGGTGTTATATATTGTTTGTCTATTTGAGATGGGCGTGGAAATTGATGTTTTATATAACTGTTAAATGATTTAAACTGTGTAAGTATTTATATCTACAAAAATGTTGGGTAGAACATGGGTAGATGGGATAGTTGGTGTGTGATGGAAGATGGTATGAGTAAACCTTGGTGACTATGGAGTTAGCGCCTATTGTATAAACCTTGGTGACTATGGAGTTAGCGTCTACTGTTAAGTAAACCTTGGTGACTATGGAGTTAGCGCCTACTGTTAAGTAAACCTTGGTGACTATGGAGTTAGCTCCTATTGTATAACCTTGGTGACTATGGAGTTAGCGCCTACTGTTAAGTAAACCTTGGTGACTATGGAGTTAGCGCCTACTGTTAAGTAAACCTTGGTGACTATGGAGTTAGCGCCTATTGTATAAACCTTGGTGACTATGGAGTTAGCGCCTACTGTTAAGTGAACCTTGGTGACTATGGAGTTAGCGCCTGATAGCTATGGATTTAGTACCTGAGAGATAAATGTTGGTAACTATGGACTTAGTACCTGATAGATAAACTTTGGCAGCAATGGACTTCGTGCCAATTCCTTAGATAAATCCTTAGGAATGAATGGATGAAGGATAGTTGATTCTTAGGGTAAACCCTTAAGAAATAAAGGAGATATGGGGATGGGTGTTTGGGTTGATTGTTTGATGATTGAATATAATAAATGTATTATTGTGGGTTGAAAACCCTATATGCTCACCAGGCTCCCAAGCCTGACCCACTCAGTTTTCTTTGTATCACAGGTATCGATGC